CTTTAATTACGCTTTCGTATTTTTGATTCATAGAACACTCACACACATTTTAATTTGGAAATATACATATAATACAATATATTTTAGTAAACCAATCCTTTATTTGATAGATACATCGAACTGTAATATATATCTAAGAATATATGGAGATACCTTTTAGTTAGATTATGTCTGAAAATCATGAGAAAGTAGAGAGAGTAGAAAGCAATTTAAACCAAAGTATTCTGGCGACAAGCCAGACATCTGACCGGTCTTGGGTTACAATGTTCGTTGTCTGAGATAAGAGGTCCAAATAGTGATAGACTAATAAACACCTTATCTAGTGTTTTCAAATGTTTCCGTCAAATTATTAATTATTTGGTATTACTGCTTCTTTTCGTGAGATAGTGTTACCCTTTAGTGTTCAGAGTTTTTAGACCACGTTCCTTTAACCACGAATTTGGAATTCGAAGCATAAACAGAGCGACAATAATAATAATTTGAAAATTCAAAGATTAAAGCTGGGACTCAAGGAGAGAAAGGGATTGTTAGTAATGGGGCCTAACTGACCCATTGCTAGCAATACACCATAGCAAGTCGACCTCTACGCGGTTCCCCCTGAAAATCATCGTGGTTAATTCTAGTGGACTTCAACACGGTGGGTTAACTGACCTGCTTTCATCGTCACCTATCATGCTTCACTGGTGTGTGTACCGATAGCGCCGGTGGAATTGCCATTCCAATATCGCCCATTAAAAAAAAGCTGGGACTCAATCATCATAATAATTGAATCGCATTCAAGCATTGTTCAACTAAGCTGTCACCACTCTTAAATGCTAGCTAATAGCTACTCAATAAAGTTCTTATTCAGTGAAACATTTAATATTTTGTAGATAATATTGTTAAGTCCGTCAAATGTATATAGAATTTTACTGTGTATTAAAGTTTAAATAAATAAATATATATCTATTGTTTATACAATATCCCATTATCATTATTTCAGCTGTCAATATCTACTGCTGAATTTGAGTTTTCCCCTAGACTGCTATAAGGAACGGTCTTGACCCACCTGCTTTCACTGGCTACGTGTAACAATTTTCTGATCGTTACGCTTTTAGTGTAGAATCGAACGTGTATATTACGGAAAAAAATGCATCAAAAAGGAAGGGAAAAAGCCCATAGCCCAGAATATTACCAGCTAATCTCCAATGAATCTAGCTATCAAGACATCAGAAGTAGTGATCCGGAGGTAGTCGCCCTCGGAGTTGAAGTCGGGGTAAAGGAGCTCACCCCAAAACCTCCACCTGAGCTCTCATACTCGGGTGGCGAAGAAGACCCATAATTATGTATATATTGTACTATTTATAATGTGTAACTAAGTATTAATATTTATATACATGAAAATTGTATTAAATATGATTTAATACAATTTTCATGTATGGTAATATCACAAGAATGGTAAAATTATAAGTTGATTACAATAATACAGATTAAGTTGGTTACAATAGATAAAAGTAATGTTTCTAAATTAGAAGTACTTAATGATAGCATACTATAGATATATGCTTAGTAAAGTATAGATCTATAGTATGCTATCATTATCATTATGAACTCATTTGATAATTATTATCAGTTATATCCACATATATACCTATATCCCGTGTGGTTCCAGCATAGAATAAGGCACCTCTTCCTTTCCCATGACTGTCGTAAGAGGCGACTAAGGTAGGGCGTGGGATGGACAGCAGCGTTGCTCTTAAAACAACTCGAAAGCCTAACTGCAGCTAATCTACCTGCTAAGCGTGGCAACTACTGGCAAAAACCTCCTAAGGGGAGGCTTATGTTCAACAGTGGACAGTTAAAAGCCGATATGTTGGTGATGATATACCTACAGTCAAATTGGGAAGTTACTCAATAACACGTTATTAATACATTAATTAAACAATGTTGTATAGTTTTGGTTTTTTGATCGACTATTTATATACGAAATGATATCACATAAACAACCGAGTTAACAACTTAAACCATACCTTATGAACTTTATATTAACTTGTCTATTTTGTTTTAACAACTTTTGTAAAAAATGTATAAAGTTTTAATTCATGCAGTGTGCGCAAAGAGTTTGTTACAACAGTGGCAAAATCAATTTGAGGCCAATGTGTTGGCGTATGGCCAACACGTCCTCTGTCTGGTAACCACGGATAAACGCTATAATAAATACTTACGTCAATCATTGTAAATATCACATTTGGGAATTAAAACATAATAGGAAAAATGTTATCTATGTAACTTTAATGTTTATTCTGCGCGTAACCTTTTCTCAATATTCACTTACAGAAAACCCTTACACATTTATTATTTATCACATTATTTACGCTTTGTATACAAACTTCTTTCTCCTTTATGTTTCTCAAGGTTGAATAGAAGAAATTCCTTCAAGGCATAAGTCTGCCTCTGTAATTTATAAATACTCAATACTCTATTTTTTTTTTCTGTTTTAAATATGAAACATAAAAAATATTTCTCTATACCTAATACTCGTAGCTTGGTTTGTGCATTCATCAGTCGACCAGGTTTTTTTTATAACACAGGAAATAAACGAACACGCGGCTTTCCTGTTGGTTCCCGACTTCTGTTGCTAGGAGCACCAGCAACATCGAAGAAATAGGTGTTTCAACCCTTTTCATAATAATATTTTATTCTGTTTCGTTTGGAAAACTGACAGCGTTTAGAAAACTACGCTACATATTTTCATCAAAAATATATATATTAATATAGTTATCAACATCTCATATTAAGTAATTTTCATTAAATTTAATTGTAATTCTTTGGATTAATCTCAATTTTTACATAATATGCACATTCTTTTAATTTCTTTTTTCCAATCCAAAATTAAAATTATGAAAATTGTAAATTTTTTGTTTTTCTAGATGAGAATCTAGGAGATAGTAAATTTCGTGTTGAAGAACACTCAACTTGCAAGTGTGTTGGCAAAAATATGATTTATTTAATTTGAAACCAATATTAAACACGTTGATGTCTAAAAATTAATTTAATTTGTTAACGAAATTTTCCATTCATCAGGAACGATAGATATCATTTATAAGGAATAAAGTTATTGTTATTTTTAATGAAACTTCATTTATTTTGTTATTATATATTATATAAAGAATAATCTTAGAGGCGATTTAAAAAGAATTTCACTTTCCCTATAGGCATGTCTGTCATTCATAAAACGCGTTTTGGAAGCGCGTGCGGTGCTATATGCGTGTTAGCTCTTAACTTCTATAGAAGCCCATGGCAAATAATTTTCCTGATCGCTAAGATTAGCTCTTCTGCCAGTTCAATTCAAAACAAAATACTAATTTCAATATGAATTATTAATATGGGAAAAAGTTAACACATTATGTTTTTATTTTGAAGGTGGAATATGAATTTTTAAATTAATTAAATTGTTGTAAATATTGACTAAATTGTATTTCTTTATGAGAATAATCTTTACTAGGAAGTTCAAGATATTAAGATATTTCTGAGGCTTTTAATAAAGTAATTAAAAATTTTCAAGATTTTTTAAGTACATAATTTTCTTATCGCCAATTCTAATCATTTTAAAATTCTATAACATCTATAGAATCAAATTATTGCGTCAATAATATTCTATAGAGATAATAGTAGTTTAAATTAACAAAACTGAACCGATTACTTTAATCGGTGCTTCTTCGATACTTTCTGCGTATTTATAACTCGATATACACATCGAGAACATCGATTGAAACCGTTCCGGTGCTTTACGACTTTATTTCTGGCGAGCATGTTTTCTTTGACTGCGTCAGTTAGCTTGGGACCGAGCATTCGGCGTATATCGGATAAATATTAATAAAGCGGCTCGGCCTCGTTTCTGGGAAGTTGGGAGGATCTTATTATAACCGCAATAGCACCTATAATTAGCAGCATCCAAATTACTCGTAGCGTGTACGTGTTGCGGCAGATCGATGTTACGTGCAGCTACTCGATTTGATTCTTATACTTATTTGATTATCTAATCGATTCCATTTCCTATAATTTATTAAAATTGCTGTAATGTTTTTTTTTTATTTCTTTAATTAACATAATTTAATGCGAAAATTATTTATAACTCATCGATTGAATCGACTTTTTTCTGTCTAACATTTTTATTTATTTTATCGAGTGTAAAGTCATAAATTTTAGAAGTTCAATGTTCAATAAATAAACAATAAACGTGCCTATATCCTAATGGTTTAGTTTTGACACAACTTACAGAAAAAGAAGTAATTTTGATTTATAAACTTCATTTATTCATAGTGTTATTTATATCTTTATTCTTAGTTTTAAAGATTTCAGAAAATTTATATTTTTGTAATAAATATCATACATTACTTAATAATTATATGTATAATAACCAGTTCTTTAGTAAACTTACTATTTTCAAAACCGAAATGTCACAGAAATAGTGAATGAAAGATGGAATAAAGTTCTTGTCATCGATCATTGAAATCCTACAGATGAGTTCAGTGACCTAAATGGTCGTACTTTATTATCATGAATATTGTATGGCATCTTAAAATAATTCCCTTTATGTACTTAAATCTATTACCAAATACATTATCAGTGATAAACTTCGTCGTTTGTGATCCTACATTACTACATGAAACAACTTGTTGCCATAATGCTGGCCAGACGACCGTTTCATATTTAATTAGATTATCCTGAGAACTTGAAAATTTCAACGTATAAAATCGTGACTACGATTGAACAGATACCGAGTACGAGCATTAGTTCGTATTTTATCCTTATACTGGTAGTGAACAGTGTGTAAAAACAAAAGAGTGAGTCAGTGAAGGCAACGACCGGCGCTCCGGGGTGATCTTTTGAAATTCCCGAATAATTGTCGACGCGTAAGGTGGCGACGAAAATAACGCGAGAGACGAACTAAGTCGTTCCCCCACACTGAAACAAATAAACTTTATTTATATATTGATGAATTGGCTTATTTATTTCAGAGATCCTCCGGTTTCGGCGTCTACATTCGGCGCGGTTGGAACTAGGCCAGTGAGGATATAAATCCATATTGGAAGCGTGGAGGGTTCATTAATTGTTAACCGACATCAAATTAAATGCTTTAACTAGACAAAGAGCTATATTGCTCATAAAATAATGGACAATTTTTTCTAAGACAAATTTATTAATATTACCAAATTAATTAAAATGTCAATTAGTTGGTAATTAAGGTAAAAACAATGAAACATGTTCATCAGCAAATTCAAAAGTGATTAATGTTTATTCATTGTTGATTGTTTAATTACAGTGATCAAAGATTAATTTCAAAGTATAATAATTGCTCGGTGAAGACATATTTGTAAGGTTGAATTATATTATTTTTTAAATAAAACAAATGGTAGAGAAATCGGTTAGTGTGTTTATTTTGTAGAATTAAATAAAACTAACACGAAATTTAATGATTTATCTTTATTCAATGTTAATTATTTAATGATAAAAAAATATTCAATACGATTATAAAATAAAAATTCTTTACGATAAATTTACTCTAAACAAGGCAAAACATAGCTACGCACTATGCGTAGCTGTCTAATATTATAACAATAATAGTTCGTAGAACTATTATTTTGTTAGTGGCAATGTCAAAAAAGATTCAATTTAAATTGTCCTTATCTTAAGACATGTATTCTTTAGCGGTCGAATGTGCATCTAAGTATTATGTAGGACGAGGCGTTTTAGCAATAAATATGAAAGTATAATGTCGGGGGAGCATGATACCGCTTTGAATGCTAAACCCGTACTGAACTACAAACACAGGCCGATGCGGGGGGATGTTGGCTGTAGTAGGGGCAAGAGGGGGCACACAGTCAACTAACCGTGGGAAAAGCCTGCGTATACGGTGTGAACAGTAAAACATAAAGCGTTCATTTGTTATTTTGATGCGAATTCTTTCGAACTTGAAGTTTAAGTGCCTACCTGTGATTTTTATTCGCGTTTAAATCGCTTATTAGTACAAGTTGTTTCATCGTGAGATCTTCTTTATTTTAAAAATAGAATGATATATTTAATCAAATGAACGCATCCGCAAAAAATGTAGTTAATGACCCCAAAAGGCTTAGGCTGGTTCCACATAATAACATTTCACGTCTCGTTGCCCAACGTACATATTCACACAGCCAATCAAATCACAAAGTATATTGACCGCTGCTCTTGAAGTGGTTATTCATTTGGATAATGATATTCTGCGAATTATTCTGTGTTTATAACCATAATGCCACATATTGTAGTGTGTCCGAATCGAGGTTACACACAATCACAACAAACCACAGTGTGCCTTCACGTGGCAACAACGTACACATAGTTACTGTAATATGGCCATTTTATATTGATCTTCATTTAATCACCGAGTTTACCCGCCCACATCAGAATTATGAGATATTTGGGAGGAGGTGCAGGTCTGTGTAAGATGGTCGTCGATTCGTGCGGCAGACGTCACTCGCACACATAGACAATCCTCGCTCACTACTGAAGTGACCGTGGCATTCCATCGACATCCACACATACATTTGCACACAGCGTACCTTATTAAAACGAGACGCGAATCGACGACTTATCGGGCAATTAGTCGTGGCTGACGTCAAATGCTGCAGCGTGTGGGAATTATGTTTAACATTCATTGACTTCTGTTTATAAAAATCAAAACTTTATTTTTTATTAAAAGATAAAACATATTAACATATTATTCTAATAAGTAATTAATTTAACCTTATCCAAAAACTATTGTAATTAACGTAAACGTAATATATATTAAACTATTTAAAAGGATTATAGTAAAATAAGTCGAAATATTTTTATTAAATAATAAATCGTACAAAGTAACGTTTAAAAATAGTGATGTGAAAGACAAAAGCGTCAATGTATAACGTTTTTATTGATAACGTTACAACGTGTTCGCAGTCGTTGGATTTCATAGTACTAACTGGCTGGACTCGGCACGCGCGAACAAGAGGACGATTGCACTGCGCAAGTGCGCTGATAACTTGCGTCGCGTTCGCGAATTATTCACGTGCTGTCAACTTATGAATTATTATTCTGTTAACAACGCTAACGTTTAAATCAAAACGTTATATGCGCCGCGTTAATTACTTACACAGTCTTAAGTACACAATGGATAATTAGTAACAATGGTTTGTATTTCGTTTTACGATTTGATTAGAAATATTAAAGTAATATTTAAGTGATAAATTCTGTTGTTAATTTTTTCGAAAATTCCACTATCCTCTTAGTATTTCTACATGATAGTATATATTAAATATGAGTTATTTTTGCTATATTAAAGTTGAATTTCACTTATGGGCAGTTACTAATACGGACAACTAACAAAATGCATTACAGAAACATTACTATTATTACAATCAATATTTGTAAAATAATTATATATTATGGTTATACACCTATTGGTTTTTTTACTTATTGGGATAAAAAAACTATTGTCAAGTTGAAATCGGTTGAACGGTTTTGAAGATTAGCACGAATAAACGCGGGGTTTTTTTATATAAGGATATCCATGCATATTGACCTATTAACCTCTCGACTAAAAATACATTATTCCGTATAACCCTTAGTATTTAACTACCCTGGACTGCCTTTATATTTCGAGTTTTCCTTCTCTTGTACTGATACATTGTGCTCCGTGACCGTCTTCTTACGACATCCTGTGGATAAAAAAGGCTAATAAATAATACAATGTTATTCCTACTTGGTTACCATATGACAATAAGGATGTATACAAAATGTATTAAGAACATTAAAATTACAACGGTTAAAAGGTCCGATTTTTTTTTATTGGGAAAATGATAAAGCTAGAAATAACCAACACAATCAGTTATTTTTAGAATTTTATTGCGTCACCGAATGAAAATGGTTGAACGGATTTCAACGAAATTTTATAATACCAATCACGATGCCTTGTGTTATAAAATTTCGGGTTGATGGTGGACGTAAAAACAGGTAAATGCCTTATCAGACTCTGTTAAGAGAATTATGGGATATAACTTAACTCCTCCCTATTATTAAGTTGTCAGTTATTTAAAAAGAATTACTTATATATCTTTACACTTAATTAATTGCGACTTGGTAATAAGTAAACAAGATTGCCAATATAATTAGTATTTAATAACTAGTTATATAAAAGAATAAATAATTTACCTAGTCAAAAGCCTTCTGGGTAAAAAAAATATAAATCATTCAACGTGGAACTGATAATGCTTTCATTACGTCGCTATCGATACGACAGCTCCATAAGCTAATAGAATCATAAAATTATGCAAAATTGGCCATACCACCGCCCACAAAACGGTTAGTGTTGGCAGATGAAGACATCACAATAACGAATGGATAAAAAATAATAACCTTATCGCAATGTTACATTAGTGATATGATGATTTGTTTTAGGTTAGAATACATAAAGTTATATGGTTGATATTAATTAATTTTTTTTATAAATAATATTTAAAACGATCATTTATGCTCCAGTTTTTTAAGGATATTCTCCTTGGGCTGGTGTAGTTATTTAGTACGCTTAATAATGGAATAAACTATTGTTTATTCCATAATTAAGCAAGCATGCTTAATTATATTATTATTATTTTTTAAAAATCTATAATTTCGAAAATAATATCTAGTCCGCTCTCTAAAATTGAATATTTAATTATACTAAGATAAATATGACACCTCAAAATCTTCTCCCATTTAAATCTGATCAAACTACGCAAAACTAGTCCTACCTCTATTATGAGTACTGATTTATTTTGATTATTTTTATATTTATGTCAAAAATGTCGAAAATTATTATCTATAACAAAAATTATAAAAACTTACATTTGGAGCATGCTATGCTCCAAATGTAAGTTTTGCTCCACTAAGTTCCACTAAGCTCCATATCCACATTTTAAATGCTCAAAGCATTTAAAATGTGGATATGGAGGAGAAAGAAAACGATAAGCTGGACAGAAAAGATAATGAATTAGGAACTCTTAAAAATGGTAAATGAGAAAAGAGTATTAATAAAAACAACATAGAATAGAGGAGGCAAAATGCTAGGCCACTTTATACGACATAATAATTTTCTTAAGAGCATAATAGAAGGAAAAATAGAAAGGGGAAGACCGAGAAATAACTACATGGGACAAATAAAGGAAACACTAGATGTCATGTCATATAGGGAGGTCAAAGATATGGTCTGGATAGAGCTGGCTAGAATAGAATGCATGAATTAACCAGAATTGCCCCGACAAGAGAAAACTTTTAAATAAGAAAAAGTAGTATTATATTATATATAGAAACTTATAAAGGCATATATATGTAGGGACGTATAAATGTTACTCGTATAGCTCACATTAACAATTTTAGGACACCATGTTATGTATGTTATAGTCAATAAATTAGAATTATATTTATCTTTTAAGTTTTCTAATATTTAAATTAATTTGATAATGGGTGACTTCATGTATATTGATAAATTATCTTTTAAATGAATTATGTCACAATTATACGCTTATTAAATTAATTATACATTACAGTGAATATAATATAGTCATTAATATGTGATTTATTATTTGGTAAAGTTAAATGAATAATATTTGCAACAATTTGAATAATTTACTTTTTGATAATTTATTATTCTATAATTTATGTAACGTTATCACACTATGTCGTTATTTTATCGTTTTATTATTTTAACAAATATAAGTAAATTGTCTATCGATCAAATTTGTAAATGTTTGAAAACTGTTTACAGAGGTATTGTTCTAGGTCTGTCATTGGTATTTATCATTTTGTTTCACACAAGTTTGCACAACTTTAAAAATTCTTTATCAATCATCATTTCTAATACACAGTCTATCATGTGTTCACATGTGTGTTCACAACTTCCAATGTAAAGTTCTTTTATGACACCTTATGTACAACGTTAGCTGCTCTTTTGTATAGCAAAATACAATAGAATATAACATAATTACAGAGTCAAACACTCTAACATCTAAAATTAATATAATATTTTAGATTGAAAAATATTATATACCATAAAACAGGGTTAATAGAATTCCTGGAATAATAAAGGAAAACCTGGGAAAACTTAAACTTTTTCCTATGTCTACTATGTTTTTTACGTGGTACAAATAACATTTTAGTAACGTACAATGTATTTCGAAAGTTATGATATGTGAAAGTTTAAAAAGAAGATTTTAAGCTTCCTTTAAGAACCAAATTAGATCATTTAGTAAGTTAAAACAGAAAAGGCATATACTTATCAACTAATATGCATTTTCAATAAATTATGTTAGATTCAATAAAGGCTTGTCCTCTGTTAATGCCGTTTTGGACCAGAAGTGGAAGTACCACGTCTACGAATAGGTAAGTTTTTTTACTTCCTTTTCTTGTTAATTATTTAAAAAAAAAAAGACCTAGTAAAACTTGTCGATATAATGGATATCCTTTCCATCCACAGTAATCTTTGCCATGTGCTTGATTCTATTGGTAATAGGTTATTATCAATCATACACATTTATCATGAAGTACCAATTTTAAAAATATTTTTTAATAATTATCATATTTAATGTTTCATATTGTTTATAAGTAATAAACAGTCATCATCATATCACCCCTTAACTGGCCACTACTGAACATAAGCCTTCCTCTTGGAGGGTTTTGCCAGTAGTTGCCACGCTTGGCAGGCGGATTGGCAACAGCAGTCAGGCTTTAAAGATTTTTAAGAGGGACGCTGCTGCCCTTCCTCGCCCTCCCTTAGTCGGCTCTTACGACACCCACGGGAAAGGAAAGGGTGGTCCATTCTATGCCGAGACCACACGGCTAATAAATAGTACTTAATACAAAGTATAATCTCTATTTTTAGCACCTATAATCTGATCTCACATTTATTATAGAAAGAACAAGAATATATCTTGCAAATCAATTCAAATGAAT